AGTACTACTCGATTTTTGTTTGTGCGTTGTGGTCGGGCAATTTGATTGGGTTTTGTTGGTAAACCCAAACAACCTGAACTTGGCCGGATGCCGGGGTGTTGTATATGGCAAATAATTGTGTCTGTCTGTCACTGTATGAGTGTGTGTGTTCGCGTGCGTGAAGAAGAATGCGTATAGTTTTCTTAATTCGATGGATGATTTTTTTTGCCCATATTCTTCAGACCTTTGTTTCCCCTCTCTCTATTCAAGAGGTAATTGGAGACGACGAAATATTGAATTGAAACTATTGGACACAGGTTTTTGATGGTGGTGTCTTGCTCTGGCATAGCAAAATAAATCCAAGTGAAATCATACATATGTTCAACAAAGTTATTACAAGACTTCACAGATATTGACACCAGAAGCCACCAGAAGCCACCAGAAGCCACCATGCTGCAATCGTTTTTTTATTGTTGTTGTTTGTCATTGATCAACATGGAATTGTCTTACTTTGATCTGACATTGATATTGAAATGGATCATGGAGATCGTTGACAATTGTAATAAATCAATGGTGGATAAATAAATTCTCAATGATTGTGGATATATATTATCCACAATTGTGGATAAAAACACTACCCACTTTGGTGGATAAATAATTTATCCACGTTGTTGGATAAATTAATTTCCCCATTGGTGTATCAAAAATGTATCCACGTCGGTGGTTCAATAAATTATCCACCTCGGTGGATAACTAAATTATCCATGATGGTGGATAAATTAGTAATCCATGATGGTGGAAAATAAAATTATCCGCGTTTGTGGATAAAAAATTATCCACGTTTGCGGTTTAAATAAGTATCCACATTGGTGGAAAAAATATCCACGTTTGTGGATAAACAAATTATCCACTTTGGTGGATAAATAAATTATTTACGATGATGGACTAATATATTATCCGCAGACTACCTTTAAATCGTCTGAGGAGACGAACCTCATGTCGTCTAATCCATAACGGCGGATAATTAACTTATCGGCGTAGGCGGATAAAAAATATCCACTTTTGTTTATAAATAATAATATAAATAATAATAGTGGATAAATAAGTAATCCACATTTTTGGATAAATAAATTATCCACGTTTGTGGATAAATAAATAATCCACATTTGAGGATAAATAATTTATCCACGTTAATGGATAAATCAATTATCCAGGTTTGTGGATAAATAAATTATCTACTATTCTGGATAAATCAATTATCCACTTTTGTGGATAAAAAAAAACAGAGGAGACCTATAAGTCGTCTTCTGAGGAGATGACCTTAAATGTTGTCAATGGAGACGACCTTAAAGTCGTCAATGAAGACGATCTTAAAGTCCTCTATTGAGACAACCTTAAAGTCCTCTATTGAGACAACCTTAAAGTCGTCTACCTTAAAGTTGTCTTCTGAGGAGACGACCTTAAAGTCGTCTTCTGAGGAGACGACCTTAAAGTCGTCTGAGGAGCGATCTTAAAGTCGTCTGAGTCCTCTATGGAGACGATTTTCAAGTTGTCTATGGAGACGACCTCAAAGACGACCTCAAAGTCGTCTATGGAGAGACGACCTCAAAGTCGTCTGAGGAGAGACGACCTTAAAGTCGTCTGAGGAGAGACGACCTTAAAGTCGTCTGAGGAGAGACGACCTTAAAGTCGTCTGAGGAGAGACGACCTTAAAGTCGTCTGAGGAGAGACGACCTTAAAGTCGTCTTCTGAGGAGACGACATTAAAGTTGTCTTCTGAGAAGACGGCCTTAAAGTTGTCTTCTGAGGAGACGACCTTAAAGTCTTCTTCAGAGAAGACGACCTTAAAGTCGTCTTCAGAGGAGACGGCCTTAAAGTCGTCTTCAGAGGAGACGACCTTAAAGTCGTCTTCAGAGGAGACGACCTTAAAGTCGTCTTTTTGAGTAGTAGTTAAAAAATATCTACATTTTTTTGGTTAAAAAATTTTCCACATTTGTAAATTAAAAAAGTGAACTTTTGTCGATACAGGGTGAGATAAAAAAAACTAAAACAAAGTCAAACGCCATGATTTTTACATTTTTTTAAATTTTATTGAATGAAAGAAACAAAGCAAGTCCTTAGCTCTTTTGAGTCTATTTTCTTTCTGTTGTGGTGTATGTTCCTGCACTTTTTGGAATTTTAATGGCTTTACCCCGAGCTCATTTTTCAATATTTGCCGAATGGAATATTGCGATATGTTCAGCTCACGTTCGATCATTTCTGCTGATGTAGCTTTTTTCTTCCGTCCACTTCCTTGTCGTCGGACTACGCTACCAGTATCACGGTACCAGACACAAAAGATTTATTCACATTTAAATGCTGGAGTGCTCTAACGATAGCCACTTGTGGTTTTCCAGCCATATATAAAAAAGTCACACTATCACGCTTAAATACCATCACAAATAACTTTTTTTCTGGAAAATTCTCATCAAAATGCTTTTTTACGCTTGTAAACAATATAATGAGCTGTCACTGGAATAATTTCAACAGCTGTCGGACGAGTGGCTGAGAAATGACAGCAGTCTGAAGTTGGTTGCAGTTTTTTCAGCTCTCCCTGCAACTTGTATTTTCTTGTGTTCATTGCATCGAATTAACTCCCTTCAATTTCCCTGTTTAGTACTTGATTACCTCATTGAATCCCAAGTAGTGGCGGTTACGCCTCTGTTTACATTTTCCTTTAGCCGAAGTAGCCACTTGTCCATTGTTGGGGGGCAAAACCCTTTACAAACTTCATTCAGTTAAGGCATGCAATTTACCATTGCCCCTTTGCGTGTTCTCTCCAACGACGATGTCACCCGACATGTGATTAACGTTCAACAGCTCTTGACTAGCTACGTGATTCTATTGATAAACGTTTTGTGCGTCGCATTTATTCTTACTTAATTAATGAGCGGCATATTAGAGTGAGTTGGATGTGTGTGTGTATGTGTTTGGTGTTCCTCTGTGTTTCCCTTTTACGAATTCTTTCTTCGACTTACATCCAAGCCGCGGTGGGACCGTCCTCACCATCGTAATTTGTTAAGTGCGGTAAAAGTCTTATTATTAAAATTAGTCTGCTGTTTTGTTGTGGGTTGGGCCGGCCGTCGCATTCATTTATCGTTATTTGTTTTTCTTGTTTTTGCCAACTCTTTCTCCACTACCACACCTTTTGTTCGGTCTCTCTCCCCAAAGATTCGCCATGACGAAGAAACTGTCTGAAAATGAAAATATTTCATTTGAGCAAAGATTGGCCTGTCTTTTTCCCCCTTTGGGAGGAAGGGGTTGCTAATTTAAAATTCTGTGGCCTAGCGATGACCAATAATTACGGTAAATTCTATAGGTTTTATTTGGTCCACCGAATAATATTCGTATTGAATTGAATGAAAGAAATTTGACTATAAATTTTGGGATTTATGTGATTTGAATTCAAATCAGAACAAATGGTTGGCATGCCTAGCCTAATAACAAAACTATGGCAAGAATTTGTTTTGGTCACCAATTTATAATTAAATTTAACATTTTCCCACCAATCCGATGGTAGATTGGCACAATGCCTATTGGTAGCTTTAACACCTGGTATGACCTAAATTACGTCATTGATAAAACGTTCTGATGATAATTTAAAATTACTGCTCTTGAAAAAAATATTCATAAAAAGTATACAAATTCTTCAAATCTACATAATTGTAACTCAAGAACGGAGGTACCTCCTCCGTTTATTACTAAAATGAGCCAAAAATAGAATCCATTATATTGGACGGGTAGAGGTATAATTTCTAATTCGCTGATAATTTGTAAAGCACTCCAGCATTTAAATGTGAATAAATATGTACTGATAATACTGGTAGCGTAGCCCGACGTCAAGGAAGTGGACGGAAGAAAACAGCAACATCCGCAGAAATGGTTCGAAAAGTAAAGAAGTGACTTGATCGAAGCCCGCGTCGCATTGGCCGAAAAATGGCTCGTGAGCTGACATATCGCAATATTCCATTCTGCAAGTATTGAAAAATGAGCTCGGGGTAAAGCCATTGAAATTGCAAAAAGTGCAAGAACTTACACCGCAACATAAAGAAAATAGACTCAAAAGAGCTAAAGAGTTGCTTTACTTGGCCGAAAGTGGTGAACTGCCGAATTTGGTTTTCTCCGTCTCCGATGAGAAAACATTCGTTGTCCAGCAGTTTGTAAACAAACAAAATGATCGTGTTTACTTGCCAAAGAGGTCAGCTGAAAATGTTCACCTTCGGTTGGCCACCAGAACTCAAGCGCCGGCTATGGTGATGGTGTGGCGGCCCATAACAACCGATGATCGCTCTCCGCTTGTATTAATCGACCTTGGCATCAGAATAAATGCAGAATATTATAGCGAAAATATTCTGCAGGGTGTATTAAAGCCTTGGACACGCAAACATTTTGGCCGCAGACCTTGGACATTCCAACAGGACTCAGCACCATCGCACTCAGCACACGCGACCGAAGAATGGTTACAAAATGAGGTTCCTCGCTTCATTTTCAGCGCACAATGGCCACCAAAGTCTCCGGAAAGCAAGGTTGGCACTAAAACATGCCAAAGTGTCGATCACCTCAAGCAAGAGCTTCGCCGGGAATGGGCCAAAATAACACAAAGCAACATTGGGGCTGCGTGTGACGGTTTCATTGACTGTTTGAAGGCCATAATTCGTGCCAAAGTTGACAAATTCGAACAAATCTTAACTTATTCTAAAATTTGATGTTATTTCCGACATTTTTTACTTTCATTCAATAAAATTAAAAAAAAAAATTAAAAAATATGGCGTTTGACTTTGTTGCATTTTGTTATTTCACCCTGTATATCTCTTGAAAACATTGAAATTTTCCAAAAAACAGGAAACTAGTTTTCCCATTCGGTCGGTCTGACGTAAGTCTGTCATTAGTTCATCTTCATAAATTTTGATGATCCATTTTATATGCCATTGTTGTTTCGTCTCTGAATGTTATTTGCAATTTGTAGTAATGCCAGATTTATTTTTCTTTTCCTTTCAGATTTTTGATGGGGGATGCATGCAATCGTAGATATTGAAGAAATCATCACATCGGCATCTTTAGCTTTGCAAATATCCAGCGAAACAAAAACTCCGCCATTGCTATAGATCTCCAACCAGTTGTTGTGAACAGTGGAAGCAGATCAAAATTGGTAGAAACGAAAAAAAAACATCGTCAAAATTTGCATACACATTCATCAGCTGCTTTGTGGCTTACCTTTGAACCCCGGTCCTAACTTCTCCACTCCTCCTTGTGCTGGCAGCTAAACGGTTGAATGCGCAGCTGCACCAACCCCGAACGAATTTTCGAACGAAAAGACAAAAAAACAAATACGAAATAGAAAAACAAACAAATATTTGAGGCTAAAAGTACGAAGAATTCCGAACGCAATATTAACAAATTAGTTGTGTGGGGTCCAGAGCTAGTCTTAGAGCATTTGTGGGGATAGAGTAAAGGGTGTCCAGCACACAAACAATTCACACACTTCAAGTTTTTTTTTTGTGTTTAGCAGACCCGGGCTTTGTTGGCGACCCCACTAACATTGAGCCCCTTAAGCCTGAGTTGCATTGCTCTGCTCACACTCACACACATCTGCAAAATGCTACAAACAACAACACATGTAGTGACGACAAAACATATGCAAACCGACATTGGTTCATTCAGTCATCAGCATCAGTCACAGGCACCACATCAGCAGCCACTAGCCGTGTTTGAGTTGCAACTTCATCATCAGTCCTAAAGAAACACCGGTGTAACAACTCAGAGAACCCCACAACTGCAAAGACAAAAACACAAAAAGAGAACATTCGCCCCTCTCTGTCACCCAACCCCATTTCTCATTCATTCTTCGTTCATTCAAGGCGAAAGAACAGCAGCAGCAACAACAACAACACAATTGTTATGTAAATAAGAAGAAACCAACAGCAACAACAACAACAAACACCCAACAGCAAAAATACGAACAATAAATAGTTTTGCCAGAGAACCAACTTCTCGCTTTAACAACGAAAACAAGAACAACAAAAAAAATAAAATTAATCAACAACAGCAACAACAAAACAAAGCCAGTATACAACAAACACTATTCTTTGTAATCTACAACAACAAAAACAACACAACATCAACAGGAAAAAGAAAAAGACTTGGAAACAACACATTCCTGGAACAAGTAGCCCAGGAGGTATCCCTTGTTCCGCAACAACAACTAACATAAACAACTCTATAACGGTATTGTTTATTTATAATTAAAGAAAAACAACAACAACAACAGTTACAAAAAAGGTAAGTTTCGGAGAATAGTTTTTTTTTGTAATCAGTGGCAATGTGATTGGAAATTTTCCTAACAGGTCAGGTCTTTCACAGATGCGGGGATAAAATATCCTCTGAGAGATCTTCTATGGACAGAAGACCACCAGAAAGTCTTCTAATACCAGAATATCCTTAACAAACCTTCTATGGTTAGAGGGCATTGCAGTCTTCTACTTTTTTGGCAGAATGGCTTTAAGAGTTCTTCTGAGAGACTGAAGAGTTCTAACATTAAATGTATTCAATAAGAGATCTTCTAAAAATAAAATACCTTTGAGACATGTTAGAGTTATTCTTTTTTGTAAAAAAAGCTTTTAAGAGGTATTCTATTTTCAGGACATCTTTATTACATTGAAGAATTAAGGAATTTAAGGTGCCATGCCATGATCCCCATGGACATAATTCCCATTACAATTATTTGGATTATGACCATTATATTTTCGGCCATACCCCTCCTCAAAAAAAAAAAAAAAAAAAAAAAAAAAAAAAATAGGTCATAATCCCCAGGAAACGATTGGTATTTAAAATTACACACAGTAATACACGGTTCCGGAGTAATATACAAAAATTGGTATTTTGTACCGGAAGTTTTTAATCGAAAATGGAGTTATTATGGGGTACTAAGATCTGCGAACCACATTATAGCCACTGTTGCCTTTCCAAAATGGTCCCAAATGTGCAGATATCTCTTGTAGTTGCGTAGATATTAGCGATAAAAATAATGAAATCATGATTTTCTTTTCTTTCTGGCCTTTAGCCAGGGCTTTAAATTTTCTCCTCTGGAGTATTTTAAACACCAGCTAAGCGATCCATAGTTTTTGTAAATCTTATATATTTTTTAAATGGTCGGCCTTCGGCAAAGGTTTGAGATTTTCCCCTTCAGGACATGTCTAACACCGGATACGCGATCAATAGTTTTTTTTTCGTTTTCTTCCTGTCTGAAAAATTTTTGGACATAATCCCCACAACAAATTGTCATAATACCCCCGCTTTTTATGGAGGTTACGATCAAAATAAAACCAGACATAATCCTCATAATTGCAATGGGGTCTTCTACGGGCAGCAGACCTTAAAACTGTATTCTATGACCTTAAAGAAGTCTTTTACAGCTACTAGTTTTAAGGATTCTCCTATGTCCTGACGAGCCTTTCAACAGGTCTTCTATGTATTCTCGACCTTTAGAGGATTCTTTTGGTTAGATTCAAGTCGTCTTTTATAACCAGAACAGCTTCTAAAGATAGAAAGCTTTTACGATTTTTTATATGTATAGAATGCCTTAAAGACTTGTTCTGTAGGCAAGAAGGCATTTAGAAGGTCTTTAGAGGCCACCTCTTAAAGATCTTTGGCTGCCACAAGGAAGGTCTTCTATAGCCAGATCTTCTTTTACCAGAAGACATTTAGGAGGACTTCTGTATCAGAAGACTTTTAATGGGTATTTTTTTCTTTTAAGGCCGGAAGATCTTTAATATATCATATATGGTCAGAAGAACTTTAAGAGGTCTTCAATGTTAAGAAAATCATTAATAGACCTTCTAGTCCCGAAGCGCCTTAATATGCCTCCCATGGCTAGAATACGTTTTATAGGTCATCTTTAAGCAGAAGACATTAAAGTCGTCTTCTATAGGTAATCGACCTGCATGAGGATTCTTATGGCTAGAATACGTTTAAGTGGTTTTTTTGTGACTATAATCTATTTAGAAGGCCTAAAAAAAGAAGTCTTCTATTGGAGTTGTTTTCAAAGGCTTTCAAAAAGGGAAAGATGAAAAACTTTGAATAGGTATTTGATAGATGGGGGACCAAAAAAGGTCACATTAAATTTTCCAGATGACACAAAGTCTTGTAAAAAAATTTATACAGATTAAAATATTTTCAAGAGGTATTCTATGGCTAGAAGGTCTTAAAGTTGTCCTAGGGATACAATAGCTACAAGAGATCCTATATGGATAAATGACCTGTATATATAGAAGACCCATAAATAAACCATTTGAAAGGCCTACTATAATTTTTTCATTTGCTACTATAAGCTCAAGGCCTCCAAACTCCATGTCATTGTAGCCATGTCCATCTATAAAAATCTCGATAGTAATTGCGAGATTTTCGATAGAAAATATTTGGTATAAACCGGTGCACATTTATAGATCGCGATATTCACAGATTTTGAGTATTTCGAATGGTGCTGCTATGATTGGTAACTAAGTGAGGAGCAAGTTGACTTTTCTAGTGCCTTTCGTCTCTTTTGCCAAAATCCGTTTCAGAGAACTTGGACCCGATCTAGTATCCGTCCATCTCTCTCGCTGGCTGCCTAGGCGCACAATAACTCTTAAAGAGAGTGTCTTGGTACATCGTACTATTATTGTCAAATATAGATCGAGTTTGGAAATGGGCAACTTCGGTCCAATCCTTTTGGTACCTCCCCCACAAAGGGTCAACATTTTTAATAATTATAACTCTTATAAAATGTGTGAAATTTCACACATATTAATATTTCAACCAACACAGGATCTCGTATGAAGAGCGGATAAAGCGGACCACCCCTTCTGGTACCTCCCCAAAAATGGTCAAATTTTGAAGTATCATGAAGCGTGAAATAAGCATCCGATTCTTTTCAAACTCGGCACATCTCAATATTTCCATCAACATGAAATCTTGTGTGAATATGGGATATAGGGCAACATCGGCCCAATCCTTTTGGTACCTCCCCCGCAAAGGGTCAACATTTTTAATAATTATAACTCACGTAAAATGTGTGAAATTTCACACATATTAATATTTCAACCAACACAGGATCTGGTATGAAGAGCGGATAAAGCGGACCACCCCTTCTGGTACCTCCCCAAAAATGGTCAAATTTTGAAGTATCATGAAGCGTGAAATAAGCATCCGATTCCTTTCAAACTCGGCACATCACAATATTTCTATCAATATGAAATCTGGTGTGAATATGGGATATATCGGACCACTCCTTCTGGTACCTCGACAAAAACGGGTCCAAATTTGGAATAATCAAGTCTCTCACAAAATGTGAAATAAGCATCCGATTCTTTTCAAATTTGACACACATCTATATTTTTACACAAGATCTGGTATGAAGATAAAGTATATCCTTCTAGTACCTCCCCAACGACGCACAGTGGGTTGAGATGTCCAAAAACAGAGATTAATTCAGCGAAGCATTCTATCGCTCTGAAATTTTGCTCAGACATTTATATTACCCCTAGTTTGTTTGGTATTAAAAAGGAGACAATTTTTTTCATTTAAAAACACTGATAACTACCTGTAGTCGATGTTGCAATTTTAACAAGTCAAAAAGCTGTAAGTTCGGCCGGGTCGAAATTTTAATACCCTCCACCTTTTGGTACAAATTTGGCAATTTCCAAAAAATAAGATCCGTTAAAAATTCTGTTAAAATCTTTGAAATACCGAATGATTATACGACGACGTGGGCCTGCATAGGCATTTTTTGTCATAATATTTAAATGCGAAACTTGAAGAAAAATCTGTTTATAATGTAACTAAAATCATCAAAATACCAAATATGGGGTGTACTGCTATATGGGGGCTATACGAAGACGTGAACCTGCACAGGCATTTTTTGTCATAATATTTAAATGCGAAACTTGAAGAAAAATCTGTTTATAATGTAACTAAAATCATCAAAATACCAAATATGGGGTGTACTGCTATATGGGGGCTATACGAAGACGTGAACCTGCACAGACAATTTTCTGGCATGGGCTGAAATTTGAAACAATCCCGGTAAATAATGTCGCTAAAATCATCAAAATACCGAATATCGGGGGGTACGGTATATGGGGGCTATATGAAGACGTGGACCTACATGGCTCATTTTTTGACATATGATGTAGTATCCATTACGAACTTCGAATACCAAATTTGAAACGATTCCGGTAAACAATGTCGCTAAAATAATCAAAATACCGAATATTGGGATGTACCGTTATATGGGGGTTATACGAAGACGTGGAACTGTACAAATAATTTTCTGTTTTAGGCTGTAGTATCCCTTACGAACTTCAAATGCCAAATTTGAAACAATTCCGGTGAATAATGTCGCTAAAATCATTAAAATACCGAATATCGGGAGGTACCGTTATATGGGGGCTATACGCAGACGTGGACCTACATGGCCAATTTACGAACTTAACCTGCCTACTGGCAAAATATACATGCGTGCAAAATCTTAGCCTTCTATCTCAATTTGTTTGAAAGAGAGCGTGATTACAACACACAGACGGACAGTCAGACAGACAGACACACAGACAGACAGACGGACATGGCTAAGAATTTTATCTTAGAATTTTACGCTGATCAAGAATATATATACTTTGTTGGGTCTGACATGAGTATTTCGAGGAGTTACAAACGGAATGACAAAATTAATATACCCTCCATAGTATGGTGGAGGGTATAAAAATATCACTTGAGTAATGAGTAAAAATCTAAAGCATTAAGCTTCAAAAAACCAAAAAGTAAAAAGAACAATAAAATGAGCCGAACTTTTTTTTTTTAATTTTTCGCCGTTCTTATTTATAACTGAATTGAGCAAAATTTGGTTTTTTGGGTATATTACGGGTAGAAGACTTATTTGTTCTTTGACAAATATTTAGAATTTTGGCATGTTTTCCTATATGACATAATTTAATACTTCCCATGATGAGGAGTGTTATAAAAAGCTTTATTTTTTGCTTTAAAATTCCTTATTTAAGTTTCAACCGCAAGTGGTTGGAACATGATTTGCAATTGTTCCAAACACCAACACAACTACCTTTTCAGCTTGTTTAAAGATGCCGAATCATTTTATATTTCTTTCTTTCTCATTTTCGATGGTCCATCCCCAATTCAGACACCCAAAATAAAAACCAAAAGGGAAAGTAACTTCCTCTGCGGTTGGTCATGTCATGGCTCAGCAATTCACAAGTTGAAGTGTCATTGAACAGCCGAAACAAATCACGGCT